CCACACTTTGCTGTGGCACCCTTGTCTTCAGTCATCTCTCAGTGAGGGCGAGTGTTGAGCAGGGCCTAACAGCGGTTCTCAACCTGTGGGTCATGACCCCTTTGGAGATGCAACGACCCTTTCACAGGAGTCGCCTAAGACCATCGGAAAACATGTATGTCCGATGGTCTTTGGAATAGAGACACTACACTGCTCCTCTATCCGTCTCCAGGTGGATCCGCCCACATGCAGATACACCCACATATGAGTACCCGGAGTGATGACATCATCTCGCCAACCCCATCACATGCAACCCATACAAATACAGGTGTATGTGAAAGCGTTGGCGCCATAATGTACTTGTGTGGAGCAGTCACACGTGTGTAGACAGCAGCTTCTCTGTTAAAAGCAGCTACTGTGTTGAAAGCAGCAGTGTTGGAGGTAAATGGCACTTCGTGAATTATAATTACTGGGCAAATATAAAAGCATGCATTATAAAATCATCAACTACTACTATATTTATATATATATCTACCATGGGAACTTAATCTGGATGCTGATCGGTCTTTTTATATCCAGCTGTGGTTGATGTGAGTACTGCCTCCTTTGTGATAGTAACAAGTATGTAAAAATAACAACACAGAATGGTAAATCATAGGAAACCTTAATGAGCTGTATTGACTGAACTATGCCATGCATCATCTTTTGTATTATTAAAGCTATTATTATATATTATTTTCATTAGCAAACCATCCCATGACAATGGATCGTGTAGAGAAGAATGCTAAGCAAAGAAAATATAGTGAGGATGTTTTGCAGTATGGTTCTACTTCAATAATTACAGCAGGAACTGAGAAACCGCAGTGTGTTATTTATTATGAAGTTCTATCAGCTGAATCTATGAAGCCGAACAAACTAAAACACCATTTGATAGCAAATATCTGAGCTTTGCCGGCAAGGATACCAACTATTTTTGATGCAAAGCTGATGGACTCAAGAAAGCCAGACTTGACACTGGTGGCAAGTACCACAAACAAAACGTAGCAGCCATTGAAGCTTCATATTTGTTGGCACTCAGGATCTCCAGAGCTATGAAACCTCACGCTTTGCTGAGGATTTACTGTTGCCAGTGGCCAAAGACATTGTTCGAGTTATGACCAGAGACGAATTTGTTACGAAATTGAATGCAATTTCCTTATCTACTGACACTGTCCGCAGAAGAATAGATGACATGTCTACTGATATTCTTGATCAGGTCATCCAGGAAATTAAATCTGCTCCACTTCCAAAATTTAGCATCCAGCTTGATGAATCTAAGACGTTGCAAACTCTCCACAGTTACTGGTTCACGTGAGGTATGTTAATGATGGCGACTTTAAAGATGAGTTTCTCTTTTGCAACCCTCTTGAAACGACAACTACTGCATGTGATGTATTTGACACAGTTGGTTCATTTCTGAAAGAGCATAAAATCTCTTGGGAAAAGGTTTGTGGCGTTTGCACAGATGGTGCTCCAGCTATGCTAGGATGTCGATCTGGATTTCAACGTTTGGTACTGAATGAGTCACCAAAAGTCATCGGAACTCACTGTATGATTCACTGGCAAATATTAGCAATGAAGACACTGCCACAAGAGTTACAAGAAGTAATGAAAAGCGTCATAAGTTCTGTCAATTTTGTAAAGGCGAGCACTTTAAACAGTCGACTGTTTTGCACCTGTGCAACGAGTTGGCTGTGATGAACAGTGCTCTGCTGTTTCACAGTGAAGTGAGATGGTGTCAAGGGGAAACGTTTTAAAATGTGTTTTTGAGCTTCGTGATGAACTGAAAACGTTTTTTAATCAGAAAGCAAGACCACAGTTTGAAGCTCTTCTCAGCGATAAAAGTGAACTGCAGAAAGTAGCTTACTTGGTTGCCATCTTTGCCATCTTGAATGAGTGAAATTTATCCCTGCAAGGACCAAATGCAACATGCCTTGATTTGTCTGAAAAGATCCAAACATTCCAAATGAAACTCCAGCTTTGGGGAAAAAAATCGTATGAAAATAAAATTTACATGTTGTCTACCTTATCTGCTTTCTTTGAGGAACATGACATTGAACCAGACAAAAGGATGATGATGATCATTTCTGTGAAAGAACACTTGCACATACTTGCCGACGAAATTTCATTGTACTTTCCAAATCTACCTCACACCAGGCCCATTCACAAAGTTGAAGATGTTCCTGAGACGACACAAGAGGAGTTCATTGAACTCATTAACAGCGATGCAGCCAGAACTGATTTCTCTACAATGCCCGTTACAAAGTTCTGGATCAAGTGTTTGCAGTCGTATCCTGTTCTGTCTGAGCCTGTGTTGTGTCTTCTTCTTCCATTTCCAACAACATATCTTTGTGAAACAGGGTTTTCCAGCTTGTTGGTTATCAAGTCTAAAGACGGAAGTAGACTTGTTGTGGGAGATGATCTGTGTTGTACTCAAAGGCTGCTCTAAAATTTCTGGTCTGGTGAGAAAACAGCTATCTCAACCTTTGCACTGACTTTGGGTTTTTACGCAGACTGTCGCAAAATGTAGCAATGTCGTTTACTGTTGTCATATGAAGACTGTTACCCATGCTACACCATGCTTCAAGGCAAAATTTCATTTATTTGTCATTAGAAATAAATATTTCACAATGTATAATTACATATTGTTTTTGTGATGAATCACTATGCTTTCATTATGTTCAATTTATAACAATGAAAATACATCATACGGAGGATTGAGATATCTGCATTACAATTCATAACAGTAGCAAAATTATAATTATGAAGTAGCAATGAAAATCATGCTATGGTTGGGGGTCAGCACCACATGAGGAACTGTATGAAAGGTCGCAGCATTAGGGAGGTTGAGAACCAGGGGCCTAACACAACCCTTTCCAAGCGGCCAGCGCTGGCGTGGCTACGAGACTTGCCCAAAGGCACAAGCGTGTGTGCAGCACGCTGACTTCAGAACAGAGGTCTGAGGGCCCTGGATACATCCGAGTTTGTACTTTTGCACAGGCAGCACATGCGGGCTAAGTTTGCTTCCCACCCGCCCGGTCCTCAGCAAGGCATTTCTGGGTAAGTACCCCAGGCTCAGGTTTTCACAGAAACATGTATAACTGTGGGCAGGGTGCTTCTGCTGAAAAATAAAGACACTGGACGGCCGAAGCTGACCCAGACACTGGACTGGACTGGACTGGGTGGCCTCCAAGTTGGACGCCCTTCCCCTTGGTCCTCACACCCTGTGAGCTGTGATGAGGGCTCAGCAGGACCCCTGGGGTTCCTTAACCGATGTCAGAAGCCGGGATTCAACAGAGCAGAATAGTGCCCACTTGTCTTCTCACACAGGCGTGCACACACGCACGCACACGTTCATGCATGCACTCACACACTTACATAAACACGCACACGTTCATGCACACAGTTACACACACATTCATACACACACTCATGCACTCACACAAATGCACACAC